CCTCATGTGCACATCTTTCGGATGTGGGAGGTTGTGCCTATAAACTTCACATAGATAATGGCTTTGGCTGGGAAGCAATTGCTGTTCTTGTCAACAATATAATAAAATGACATGGAACTAAGCAAAGTTATTCAAGGACCTGCTCTATTCACATTAATTTGTTCAAGGAATACAACAAGAGATAAATACAGTTGTTGTAAGTACCTGCTTGTTCATTCAGTTGTTTACTCAACAAACCTTTATTTTACTGTCTCCAATAGGCTAGACCTCAAGGATAAAGAGATCAATTCAATAAAAACCTTATTCTCAAGGAGCTTATAATCTACTGGTAAAATAAAAAGGTGCCAACTGCATTTTACTCATGGAATTCAAAGTCTTTTTTGTGAGATGGGGTCTGGCTATGTGGCCCAGGCTACTCTTAGACACTTGGGCCCAGTGGACCCTCTGGCCTCAGCCTCCTGAACAAAGCCTTTTTTAATAATAATGGTAAAAACAATCATTAACTTTTCTCAGTGTGCAGTATTATTATTATTATCATTTTTGAGATGGAGTCTCACTCTATTGCCCAGGCTAGAGTCCAGTGGCACAATCTCGACTCACTGCAACTTCTGCCTCCTGGGTTCAAGAATTCTCCTTCATCAGCCTCCCAAGTAGCTGGGATTACAGGCACCAGCCACCATGCCCAGCTAATTTTTGTATTTTAGTAAAGACAGGATTTTACCATATTGGCCAGGTTGGTCTCGAACTCCTGATCTTGTGATCTGCCTGCCTTGGCCTCCCAAAATGCTGGGATTACAGTCATGAGCCACCACACTGGGCTGCAGTATTATTTTTAATACACTTTTTATTTTAAGTAGTTTTAGCTTTATACAGAAGTTTCAAGACTGTTATAGAGAGTTCCAGTGTGCCCCTGTTGTTAACATTACTATGGCACAATTGTCACAACTAAGTTACTAATATTGGTACATTACTAAACTCCAGGCTTTTTCTAGTTCCCTTAGTTGTGCCCATTGTCCTTTTCCTGTTTCTGAGTGTTATCCATGATACCACATTGTATGTAGTCATCATGTCTCTTAGAGGCCTCTGGCTGTGTCAGTTTCTCAGACTGTGCTTGTTTTTGATGACTGGTTTTAAGGAGTACTGGTCAGGCATTTTGTCCTTCCATTTGGGTATGCGTAGTGTTTGTCTCATGGTTAGGCAGAGGCTACTGGTTTGGGGGAGGAAGATGACAGAGGTAAATTTCCATTCTTATCACATCATATCAAAGGTATATGCTATTTTTTTTTGAGACAGTCACTCTGTTGCCCAGGCTAGAGTGCAGTGGCACGATCTTGGCTCACTGCAACCTCCACCTCCTGGATTCAAGCGATTCTCCTGCCTCAGACTCCTGAGTAGCTGGGATTATAGGCATGTACCACCATGCCCAGCAAATTGTTTTGTATTTCTAGTAGAGACGGGGTTTCACCATATTGGTAAGCCTGGTCTCGAACTCCTGACCTCGTGATCTGCCCTCCTTGGCCTCCCAAAGTGCTGGGATTACAGGTGTGAGTCACTGGGTACATGCTATTAACATGATGTTTCACTGCCACCGTTGACCTGGATCGCCTAGCTGAGGTAGTGTTGATCAGGTTTCTCCACTGTGAAGTTACTCCTCTCATTCTCCCCTTTCCATTTAGTTCTCTTTAAAAAAAAAAAAAAAAAGTCACTCTGTGTATCTTACACTTAAGGAAAGGGGGTTGTGTTCCATCTCCTTGAGGGTAGAGAAGCTACATATGTTATTTTTAATTCTTCAGAATGGAAGTTTAAAATCATTAACTTTTATTTGAAGTTTGGCATTAATAAAGGCTCTTTCAAATACATTATTTTACAGGTCCAACTCTGAGCCAGTGTAAAGTCTGGTTGGGGAGATCAGACTTAGAGAGGAAAAGTTAATAACATGACAACTTTATAAGAAATGGAATTTGTGCACCCATGTTCATAGCAGCATTATTCACAATAGCCAAAGGATGGAAGCAACATTAGTGTCCATCGATAAACCATGGATAAACAAAACATGATATAGACATCCAATGAAATATTATTCAGCCTTAAAAAGGAAGAACTGACACATGCTACAACATGGAGGAATCTTGAGAACAGACATTATGCTAAGTGGTATAAGCCAGTCACAAAAAGCGAAGTATATGAGGTACCGAAAGTCATCAAATTCATAAAGACAGAAAGTAGAAGAGCAGTTGCAAGGTGCTGGGAGAAGGAGGGCGGGGGTTAGGAGCTGTTATTTAATGGGTACAGAGTTTCAGTTTTGCAAGATGAAAAGAATCCTGAAGATTCGTCACACAGCATTATAAATGTACTTAAGGCTACTGAGCTGTAACACTTAAAAAATGGTTAAGATAGTAAATTTTAGGTTATGTGTATTTTGCCACCATTAAACATTTCTAAAATAAATACAATTTTCAATAAGAAGTGTTTTTTATAACTAGCCTTCCAATAAGAACCCACAGTTTCACTATAAAACAGAGGCTGTAAAATGGTACATTATACACCTTTCAAATGTTGGCAAAAAAATATACCAGAGATTATATATAATAAAGAGGCCTTTTTTTTTTTGAGAGAGAGAGAGTTTCACTCTGTTGTGCAGGCTGGAGAGCAGTGGTGTGATCTCAGCTCACTGCAAGCTCTGCCTCCCCAGTTCAAACAATTCTCCTGCCTTAGCCTCCCGAGTAGCTGGGATCACTACTCGGCACACATCATCACGCTCGACTAATTTTTGTAAAGTCTTCTTTGAAAAATTGAATGATCTGGTAATGTAAGCCTAAGGGTGTCACCTGGCAACCATCAGCTGGAGCTAAGCAGCACCTGCCACATTTAGACAGATCATGCATGCTGTGGTTTCACGTGACCACCACCAGCTTTGATGTGTTACACCCTGCCCATTTTACTCACTGGTCTTGCACTCCTAAAATCAAGGGATCCACTGCCTGGGTTTACCAAAGTGCTGGGATTACAGGCATGAACCACTGTGCTCAGCCTAATTTTTTATTTTTTGTAGAGATGGCGCCTCACTATGCTGCCCAGGCTGGTCTCAAACTCCTGGGCTCAAGCAATCCTCCTGCTTCAGCCTCCCAAAGTGCTGGGATTACAAGCAACAGCCACCTTGCCCCACCTCCTATGGTATAATTTAAGCATTCAGAACTTTGTGTAAGGTACTAAAAGAACAAGTTATTTGGCAATTCCTCTGAAACTTTCACCTAAGCCCTAACTTCCTCTGTGTAACACATAGGTGTCAGGGGGAATCAGAGAGAACTCTCTCATATTCTCTGGGAAGAGAAGGCTCCTGCCAGAACTCTGCTTCTTTTCTGAGAACACCATTTTAAGAGCACTTTGACCAAGCCTATTGTGATTCCTACCTCACTCCTGACAGATTTTCTTCTTCTGCAGTCTCAAGGAAAACATTTCTCAAATGTGCAAATCAGACACATCTAACCAAGAGCCCAAAACTTCAGCACAAACAAAACCAGACATGGTACAATAAGGCTGCCACTGAAATCCAAGACTATCTCTATCCTTCCAGTGCAGCGCTAGGATTGCATGTGTGTTAAAGGTGTGTCTACTTCCCAGCCATCTCTACTTGTACAGAACTGTACCTAGCTTTGGAAAAGTGTTCTGGGCAACAATTTGTGTTTGGTGTCATCTGTTATTGATACTCAAGACAGGCCTAAAGTCAGACTTCTAGGCTGCCAACATAGAGTCCTTCTGGGAGGCTCCGAGAAGCCCTCTATTAAAAACAATGGCCTACATACACCTCCATCATGTCTGCTCCAGCCAGGGAAAAAGGAAGTGTGTGGTCTAGGAGGTGGCCTCATTTGCACCTTTCTGGGATTTACAGGTCTGAGCCTAAGGAACAAAGGCTGATTCCCCTAATCTGATGGCCCGCCCAAGGTATGAAAGGACACCCCCATGCTTGTGGGACATAAAGGAGAGGACACGTCCATGTGTTATGAATCTGTGACAGACATTTATTAGTTGTCTTCCCAGCGTCTGTGTCCCTCTTACTACTACCTGGGACCCCACATTTCTCAGCTATGTCGTTGAGGTGGGATGAGGGTCACCTCTAGCTCCAGGGAGAGCTAATCACCCTGATCACAGTTCAAGGATGAACTCGTGACCCTTGTCAGAAAGAGACTGAATTCAAAAGCTTTTGATTAAACAATCAGAAAAGCACAGCTCACTTTTTCTTGCTGCTCGTGAACAGAATACATATAGATCTAGGAGTCTGGACATCATCTTGGGACCTTAGTGGGAAAGCTGCCCAAGAATGGAGTCAAGGAAACCATCAAAATGTAAAAGAGCCTCCATTTCTGGACTGTTTGGTTCTATGACCCAATACATTCCCTGTTTATCTTCAGCCACTTCAGGTTAGGTTTCTAGTCACTGGCAACAGACAGGATCCTAATCAAGACCCCACTGAACAGAACTTGACCCTGCCAAGGCTTGGCAGTCTCTGTTTTAGTCACTATCTTCCCATCAGTATTTTCAATTTCTTTTAAGGCAGATTAATCTAGCTACAGTCATGGCAGAACATAGCCGATCTGAAAAAACATTCCCAATATTTACATATTTCAGCATAAAATTCTGTTTAGTGGTCTCCCTTATACTTCTCCTTTTTGTACACATCTTTTAAGAGGAACTCAATCTTCTGATTTTAAGAAATGCAAATGGGGCAATGATGTATCAACTCAAGGATTTTCTTTGTAATAGGAAAAGTTTTTAAAGGGGAAAAATAGGGATTTTTATTATTAAAAGATAAAAGTAAGTTTATTTTTTAAGATACAAGGCATTGGAAACATTTAGTTTCACAATATGCCATTATTAGGCACTCTCTATCTGATTGTTAGAAATTATTCATTTCCTCAAAGACAGAGGATAAATTGATTGGGGATGCAGACTTGTACTATGCACTTTCTTTGCCAAAGGCAAACGCAGAACATTTTAGAGCCATGAGGATGCTTCTGCATTTAAGTTTGCTAGCTCTTGGAGCTGCCCACGTGTGTGCCAACCCCACAGCACGTCCCACAAGTGCATTGGTGAAAGAGACTTTGGCACTGCTTTCTATCCATCGACCTCTGCTGATGGTCAATGAGGTAATTTTCTGTCTGATTCCTACAGTCTTTAAAGGGCATAATCATTTGTGATGGTTCCTTTACTATACAGAGAGATATGTTATAAATAAAATTCTGAGCATGTTAGTACATGGGTGATAACTATATCACTAGCAAACATTCCATTAAAAGTTATAAATGCCAGTGTTCTATAAAAAGTTATTATATTTTCTTTCCTTTTCAGACCCTGAGGATTCCTGTTCCTTCACATAAAAATGTAAGTTCAATTATGATTCAATAAAATGATTGCATGAATAAGTAATTTCCTATTTTAAGCTGTAAATCATTAGTTATGATTGGAACTATTTAATTTTCTATACTTTTGTTTTCATATGGGTGGCTGTGAATGTCTGTACTTAGAAATATGAGGAATGACTTTTTAACAAGTAGAATCCTTTCAACAAATGGTTCAGGCTCTTTGGGGATGTTGTTAGTTTGCCTCCCAAAGAGCCTCATGTCAGGGATTCTTTCCAGAAGGATTCCACACTGAGTGAGAGGTGCCTGCTAGTCTCTGTGCAGTTCTGACTCTGGTCGTCCTCATTGTAATGTCTTTCTGAAAGTATTAGCAACTTAGAATTATATGTTTAGAACCATGAGCAGTAGACATTGAAATATATAACAAATGCCCTATATTAATAATTTCTGCATACTTAATTATGATTATATGATGATATTGTATGCATTTGAATATGTCCTGCTCATATTAAAATGTAAAATATATAATTTTATTAGTTTAAATAGAATAAAATTAGCAGCTAGAACTGTAAAATCACATTGAGGTAAGTTTAATGCATAATGTATTACACTTCTAAAACATTTTCTTCTGGTAACATAATTAAGTTACATCCTTTATAAAATTCCTCATTAATCATACAAGCTTCATCTCCTTTGAAAATTTTATCTCAATATGTGGTGGTTTTCGTTGTTGTTATTGTTGCTTCTGAGACAGACGCTTGCTCTGTCGCCCAGACTGGAGTGAAGTTACATGATCTCGGCTCACTGCAACCTCCGCCTCCCGGGTTCAAGTGATTCTCCTGCCTCAGCCTCCTGAGCAGCTGGGATTACAGGCACCCAACACCACACCCTGCTAATTTTTATATTTTTAGTAGAGATAGGGTTTCACCATGTTAGCCAGGCTGATCTCGAACTCCTGACCTCATGATCCACCTGCCTCAGCCTCCCAAAGTGCTGGGATTACAGGTGTGAGCCACTGCACCCAGCCTGAATATGTGGTGGTTTGTTGCCTAGAAAACAAACAAAAAACTCTTTGGAGAAGGGAACTCATACCACAAACAAAGCCAGAATTTGTGGACCAAATTATTTTAAATAATTATTTTTTCATCGATAAATTAAAACGCATATATGCTTATTGTGTACAATATGATGTTTTGAAATAGGTATTCATTGTAGAATGGCCAATGGATCAAATTTTTATACCTTGTTTTGATTATTTGCATTTTAAAAATTTTCCTCATTTAGCACCAACTGTGCACTGAAGAAATCTTTCAGGGAATAGGCACACTGGAGAACCAAGCTGTGCAAGGGAGTGATGTGGAAAAACTATTCCAAAACTTGTCTTTAATAAAGGAACACATTGACCGCCAAAAAGTAAGTTATATACATTCAGTGGAAACTGTATTTGTCTGGCTGTGCCTAATTCTGTGGAATTGACAGTTTCCTATAATACCTACTGTCATTTTTCTTTTTTCACAGAAAAAGTGTGGACAAGAAAGACGAAGAGTAAAGCAATTCCTAGACTACCTGCAAGAGTTTCTTGGTGTAATCAACACAGAGTGGATAATCGAAAGTTGAGACTAAACTGGTTTGTTGTAGACAAAGATTTTGGAGGAGGACATTTTACTGCAATGAGAATGATGGCCAGTGAAGGGTTAGGCCTTAATTTTCAGTGTAATTAAACTTCAGAGGGAAAGTAAACATTTCAGGCACACTGACACTTTGCCAGAAAGCATAAAATATTTAAAATATATTTTAGATATCAGAATCATTGAAGTATTTTCCTCCAGGAAAAAATTGATATATACTTTTTTCTTATTTAACTTAACATTCTGTAAAATTTCTGTTAATAATATTTATGAAATTGTTAAGAATTTGGTAAATTAATATTTATTTCATATTATATTGTGTTCTAATAAAACAAAAATAGACAATTGTTCAATTTGCTGCTGGCCTCTGCTTTAGCAGTTGAAGGTAGCACGGTCCATTGAACACATGCCCAGTTTGGAAGGAGGGTCTGAGCACATGTGGCTGAGCATCCCCATCTCCCTGGAAAAGTCTTGGGATTGTAAAGCACACCAGAGGTGGAAGTGATCTAGCAGGACTTAGTGGGGATGTGGAGAGCAGGGACACAGGCAGCAGGTGAATCTGGTTTCCTCTTTACAGAAGACTCAGAACCTGGGATGGTACAGGGTAAATTGTAGGGAACAAATGAATGAATGTGCTTTCCAAGACTGATTGTAGAATTAAAATGAGTTGTAAGGCTTTTCCTTGTAAAAGGTCAGTGTGGGAACCTGTAACTAGGTTCCCTCTGAGTCTATGAGAAGAATTTGGCAGACCAATCCCATTGCCAGTTTAAAGAGGAAGCCAGAAACCCTCTGGCAAGGCCTACAGGGGTTCTTACCCCACCTGACCCTGCAGCACAACAAAAGGAGCGGAGAGACACTGGTAAGGCAGAGTCCCATTAGAAAGGCTGAGTTCTGTATTCCCCGGGGCAGGCCATGCAACACTCCAATCTGCCTCCTTACAACTATCAGTAGCATCACTAGAGATTCTTCTGTTTGAGAAAACTTCTCAAGGATCCAGAAAATATGCTCTTTAAAATATTTTAAAACCGATATAGACCCAAAGAAGAGACCCAGTAACAGTATTCAGCTATATCGTCCATTCTGTCATTCTTTCATTCAACAAATATTTATTGATCACGGGCTCTATGCTGGGTGTGGGATGCAGCTGCGGGCCTGTGCTGGAGGTCCTTAGAGGCCAGTACCCCTAGCTTGGGCTTTATCTGCATGGATTGCAGCAGTGTTGGGCTCCACTGCTGTGTGAAGCAATTGCTCCTGCTCTTTCTGGCCATGGGAGAAGGGCCAGAGCAGTGAGACACAGATTCCCAGGCAGGAGAATGCAACTTCTTCCAAAGAAAAAGATGTGTTTTCCTTCCAGCACACACCCAGGCATGGTGGTCAGGACCACGCACCAGGTCCCCAACTTGTGCACACACCAAGCCCCAGGATTGGGAGCAGAGCCAGTGAGGGAGCAAGTGGATGAGCCCAGCACCGTGCTGACTGCTCTAGAAAAAGGCAGGAGACAGAAACAGGAAACTCGACTTGCAAAAAGACTTTATCTCAACTTGATTCAATTTGGCAGATTCTGAGTTCCAGTATGCTCCAGGACTATTCTAGGGGCTAGGATTCAACAGTGAAGAAAATACAAAATCCTTTCCCTTGTACACTTACATTCTCTCAAAAAAGCTCATTTTCCCTCTTCCTTATAAGGGTCCAATATAGTTAATAAGGACTTAAGACTGGAATATTGGGCTGGGCATGGTGGCTCATGCCTGTAATCCCAGCACTTTGGGAGCCTGAGGCGGGTGGATCACGAGGGCAGGAGATTGAGACCATCCTGGCTAACACGGTGAAATCCTGTCTCTACTAAAAATACAAAAAATTAGCTGGGTGTGGTAGTGGGTGCCTATAATCCCAGCTACTCAGCAAGCTGAGGCAAAAGAATCGCTTGAAGCCGGGAGACAGAGGTTGCAGTGAGCTGAAATCACACCAGGTTATGCCCTGCTTTCACCGGGCGCAGTGGCTCACGCCTGTAATCCCAGCACTTTGGGAGGCCAAAGCAGGTGGATCACAAGGTCAGGAGTTCAAAACCATCCTGGCCAATGTGGTGAAACCCCATCTCTACTAAAAATACAAAAATTAGCTGGGTGTAGTGGTGTGTGCCTATAGTCCCAGCTACTTGGGAGGCTGAGGCAGGAGACTTACTTGAATCCAGAAGGTGAAGGTTGCAGTGAGCCGAAATTGCACCACTGCACTCCAGCCTGGTGACAGAGCAAGGCTCTGACTCAAAAACAAAACAAACAAACAAAACAAAACTGGAATATCACATCTAAATTCCCACTAATGAGCCCTTACCAATCTACTAGGTCCCAGAGAAGCTAAAAACAATCAGGGCTTTTTGCAATTAACTGAAATACAACTTGACTCAAACTTGTGTCAAGCCTGTTGACAACATACACACGTCACATGTCACTGCTGTGCATAAAAACCTCTGACTCGCTACTATCGAAGTCCAGGCTCCTTCACAGGTCATTCAAGGTCTACCTCTGCCTCCTCTAACCTCTGCCATACAGAAATACCGGCATCGTCCACGTCACATCCTTGGCAAGAAGGTATCAACCAGGTGCCTCATTCCCATCATTTTAAGTGGGAAAAATTTTAATGTATTATGTCTCAACCCAAACTCTTCAACCAACTTCTTAAAACATATAAAACTTAGTAAATATATAAGCAACAAACACATTAGGGTGTCAAAATTTAAACAAAATATTTTGCATTTATTTATTTAATTGTAAAATGAGGAGATAAGATATTTAAAACAGTACTTCCTGATCACTCAGCAGTTAATATAATGTTGCTTTGTCTGTATAACGTGCTGCACGTCCCCTTCATTAACATTCAGAGCCTTTCCTATTCTCTTCTGTGAACTCTGATTTGCTACCAACTGTATTTGGAAGAAACCTAAAGACATTATCCATTGACTCCCCCATTACTTTGTTTAAAAATTTGTTATGTTTGAGGGACATAAATATTTTTCCGGTATAAATATTGGTGGGAAAGTATTGAGAGACACATTCTATGAAGAAGTGCTCTACGTGGAAAACATTAATTGTGGAGATGTTCAGGCCAGGCCTGGTGGCTCATGCCTGTAATCCCAGCACCACTGGGAACCTGAGACAGGAGGATCACTTCATTCCAGGAGTTTGAGACTAGCCTGGGCAACATAGCAAGACTATGTCTCTACAAAAAGAAAGAAAAGTAGCCAGGCATGGTGGTGCATGCCTGTTGTCCCAACTACACAGATGGCTGAGGTGGGAGGATCACCTGAGCCCAGGAGGTGAGGCTGCAATGAGCCCTGATTGTGCCACTCTGGGCAACAGTGTGAGGCCCTGTTTCAAAAGAGAGAGAGAGAGAGAGAGAGAGAAAGACAGAGACGGCGGCGGGGCGGGGGGGGGGCGGGGTTTCTGTAGAGAATACTAGACTCTTATTCTTCCCAGAATACCCATGAATTTTCACTACTCTATGCCTTGGTCCACACTATATCCTCTGTTTCAGTATCTTTGTTCTTTTTCAGCCAGCAGACTTGTAATTGCCCTTTAGATGTTTTCATTCACCACCCCTGCCTTTTTTTTTTTAGACGAAGTCTTGCCCTGTCACCCAGACTTGAGTGCAGTGGCACAATCTAGGCTCACTGCAACCATTTCCTCCTGGGTTCAAGTGATTCTCCTCCCTCAGCCTCCCGAGTAGCTGGGGTACAGGCACACGCCATCATGCTCAGTGAATTTTTTTGTATTTTTAGTAGAGACAGGGTTTCACCATGTTGGCCAGGATGGTCTCCATCTCCTGACCTCATGATCCAGCCACGTCAGCCTCCCAAAGAGCTGGGATTACAGGCATCAGCCACCATGCCCAGCCCCTCCTTTTTTTTTTTTTTTTTTAAGAGATAGTCTTCCTCTGTCACCCAGGCTGGAGTGCAGTGGCTTGATCATTGCTCACTGCAGCCCCGAACTCCTGGGCTCAAGTGATTCTCCTGTCTCAGCCTCCCCAGTAGCTGGGTCTACAGGCACTTACTACCATGCCTAGTTAATGTCTTTTAAGATTATTTTCTAGGGATGAGGTTTCACTATGTGACCCAGGCTAGTCTTAAACTTCTGGCCTCAAGCGATCCTCCTACTTTGGCCTCTCAAAGTGCTAGGATTACAAGTACAAGCCACCACACTGGGCCTCTTTATTTATTTATTTATTGAGACAGAGTCTCACTTTGTCACCCAGGCTGGAGTGCAGTGGCACGATCTCAGCTTATTGTAACTTCCACCTCCTGGGTTCCAGTGATTCTCCTGCCTCAGCCTCCCGAGTAGCTGGGACTACAGGTGTGCGCCACCATGCCTGACCCCCATCTCTATGAAAAATCTTGGTCAGGCTGGTCTTGAACTCCTGACCTCAAACAATCCACCCGCTTTGACCTTAAACAATCCACCCGCTTTGACCTTCCAAAGTGCTGGGATTACAGGTATGAGCCACTGCACCCGGCCTTATTTTTTATTTTTTTAAGAGATAGAGTCTTGCTATGTTGGCCAGACTGGATTCAAACTCTTGGGATCAAGTGATCCTCTCATCTCAGCCTCCTGAGTAACTGGAATTATAGGTAAGTGCCATCATATCCAGCAGTTTTTTAAATCTCAATGTACCTACCTGTGACCAGCTGACCTACTGCTTTCCAAGTCTCACATCACTGTATACATTTATCATCAGGATCATGACATAAAGAGAGTAAAATGCACAGGCCTATAAATGTAATGAGATGTTACAAAAGTTTCAAAGCCACATGAAGGTTCTGCCAGGTACTAAGAATGTTTATTCCATTTATATAATAAAGAACTAGAAAAACAGTCCCAGGGTATAAAAGACTCAAACCTAAGAGACTTCATTTATTACTTGTCCTATGGAAGTCCCATTCTAACCAAAGAATCATGACAGATTTAGGTTTTCCAGGTGTTAATAGCTCAGCCCTCA